AATAGGCAGCGCAGAACTCGCCAGCCAGATCCTTATTGCCGCGCATCGGTCAATCTTCCAAAGTCGCATCGTCATGGCAGTCCAAAAACGTCGCGTATTTTTTTCGAACAAGTTCGGGAAATTCATACGCAACGGCGGTAACTGCTACGCCAGGCAGAAACCCGCCAGCGATAGAACTGACATCCAAACGCTTAGTCACCGCTGCAACATCAGCCATCCCGGCTCCTTATGAGTCACTATCCTGGCAGCCATCGTCACCTCTTGGTTTTTCAGGCTCAACTCGAACTCGACTAGGATCTATTCGTTCAAAACAACCATCGTGATCCACACGAACAAAACCGTATGTAGCGCCGGGTGCGCGAGCATCTTCAAGAGCTTGTTTTAGAGCATCCATGGAGAATTCTAAGTTCTGTTTGTATCGCTGGGCGTGCGCGAGTATTTCCGGCTTGTCCGACATGTCGGCTCCTTTGATCAGGCCCCGTGTTTTCAAAACACTTGACCTTTGCACCAGTCTCATTTTTGCAATTTTCTGCCACAGCTAATTCGCAGACTTTCTTTAGCGACAAAACGTTGGCCAGTACCTCTCGTGCCAACTACGTAAAGGTCAAAACCACGGCTGTCAGAAACTTGTTTGTTTGGAATTAGTATCGATGTTGCGCGATTTTTCGAACGATCAATTTCGACAAATTGATGAGCAGCCTCCAATGAAGGAAAGACTGTTGCACTCCTCTCGTCACCGTTGAATCCAACGATGACAAACCCGTTCTCTTGGACCTCAGACTTATGAAGCTCGAACCCCACTAGAGGCGCCAAAACCCGAACGCAAACGCTCTCATCACATGCCTCAAATGGCCTACAATGCCAAGGTGGATGTCCTGGATCCATTCTTGCGATAGAGCTGGCTCGGGAAATTTGCACAGCTGGGATAAGTGGAATTTCTGCCTGACTTTGGCTTAGATGCCGGAAACAGGAGAGACGATGACGAGACGACCGCGCCGGAACCACAGCCCGGCTTTCAAGGCGAAAGTTGCGCTTGCCGCGATCAAAGGCGAGCAGACACTGGTGGAACTGTCCCAGCAGTTCGACGTGCACGCCAACCAGATCAAGCAGTGGAAAGACCAGCTTCTTACGGGAGCGACAAGCGTTTTCGGCGATGAATCGAAGGCGGTACCGGCAGGGCCGACCGTCGATGTCAAAACGCTGCATGCCAAGATCGGGGAGCTGACGCTGGAGAATGATTTTTTAGCCGGAGCGCTCGGCAAGGCGGGATTGCTGAGCGGAAAGAAATGATCGACCGCGAGCATAAGCTATCGGTTGTGCGCCAGGCAAAGCTTCTCGGCTTCAGCCGTGGCAGTGTCTATTATCTGCCTCGTCCGGTGTCTGAGAGCGATCTGGCTCTGATGCGCCGGATCGACGAACTGCATCTCAACTACCCGTTCGCGGGAAGCCGGATGTTGCAAGGGCTCTTGAATGGAGAAGGGCTGAGTGTCGGGCGGCTTCACGTCGCCACGCTGATGAAGAAGATGGGCATCGAGGCGATCTATCGCCGCCCGAACACCTCGAAACCAGCGCCAGGTCACAAAATCTATCCCTATCTCCTGCGAAGGCTGGCGGTCACCCGGCCCAACCAGGTGTGGGCAATGGACATAACCTACGTTCCGATGGCTCGCGGTTTTGTCTACCTCTGTGCCGTTGTGGACTGGTTCAGCCGGAGGGTTCTGTCGTGGCGGCTGTCGATCACTATGGAGGCAGCCTTCTGCATCGAGGCAGTCGAGGAGGCACTGGCTCGCTATGGCAAGCCAGAAATATTCAACACTGACCAAGGTTCGCAGTTCACTTCCATCGACTTTACGGCGGTGCTGAAGAAAGCTGAGATCGCCATCTCGATGGACGGCAAGGGCGCTTGGCGGGACAATGTCTTCGTCGAGCGGCTTTGGCGGTCTATCAAATACGAGGAAGTCTACCTCCACGCTTACAAGACCGTGTCCGAGGCCCGCGCTGGCATCGGCCGCTATCTGACCTTTTACAACACACGACGCCCACATTCATCCCTTGACCGGCAGACGCCGGATCAGGCCTACTTCAACGCGCTGACGCCGATGATGGTGGCGGCATAATCGAGGCGGAAATCCACTTAGCAAAACGCCCCGAACTGTTCAGACAAACCGAGCCACCTCTGATCCCTGGTTCATCCATCTCAAGGACATTGCGCCGTTTTCCTTCGCCGGGCTCTGGGCTTACAACACCAGCGCCGAAGTTACCACTTGCACCATCTTGACAGTTGCAGCTGGCTCGCCGATTGACCAGGTTCACAACCGCATGCCGATCGTGTTTTCGTCCGAGCACTATGATGCCTGGCTGGATCCGGCGACCGCAGTGAGCGATGTAAAAGCGCTTCTGTCCAACAATCTCGGGGCAAGCTTCGAGTTCTATCGTGTCGGTAGGGAGGTCAATTCGTCCAGGTCTGAGAATGATCCAAGTCTGGTCGCGGCCGTGTAGGACGGAGGGATGACCATGCGGTCGATCACGGTCTTACCAACGTAAGCTATTCCCGCTTTGTTGGCCTTCTGGGGATTTCAATACAATGGTTTAAGCCTTGTTGTTTCGCTGTTTGCCGCACGAAGTACTTGCCAAATTCTTCGATGTAAAGTTCTTGAATTGGTGGATATCATCCGGAATATATTGATGAACTTTTAGTAATCAAAGTCATGATTATTTAAGAGAAAACTGTAGTCCACATCAACCATAAAACGGCATGTGTCAAATACTATGAAGTTGTTAAAGTTTCCTCGCGCAAAACATGTAGGCTGATTTCGTTTTGATTACATAGCAATCAAACCTGTCACGAAGTATCGACGACACACATTTCCAAACGGAAAGAGCGGCCTCCCCAATATCTTCGATGATAATCCAGCCACCGTGCTGCACATGCGTCATGAAAAACGCAAAAGATCGAAGGTTGGCGTTGGAAACATGGAGCCCGTCTTCGATCATCAGATAAAAGTCTTTGCCTATGTTAAGGTCCAATTCTTCAAACGTCTTTTGTTCGGTCTGATCTACGTAAAACGTTTGAATCCTTTCCTCAGTGAAGAGGATTCTCTGATCAATGTCAGCACCGAAGATAGAGCTGTTTGGCAGGAACTCCTTAAACGCTCTGAGTGATGCTCCCGGTCTTCCAGTTGAACCCATGTTTGAAATGACGTCAGTGTTGTTTGTGCCGAGGCCTATTTCAAATAACTTAAGTTCATTCTCTCTGACTTCGTTCAGTATTTTAAAATAAACTCTGTAGTAGTCGTGCGTAGTAGATTTGTCTGATCCCATTCGGGCAAAAATATCGCCAAGTTCCGATGCTTCGCTTTTATCACTCATGACAAATTCGTCGACTGTCAGTATTTTGTAGTGTTCGTCTCTTACAAGTGATGCGAGAAGCGGCAGGGTCTCGTTGATCGCTAGAATTGCAAAAGGTTCCCACATTTTGTAGTTTCCATCTCCACCAGGAGCGAACAATGGGAATGTTTTCAATATGTTAAGCTTGGTGACACCTTCAAATTTCAACAACTTCTTTCTTTTGTTTCTTTTGTGACGCCTCGATTGGCGGAAGTTGCTCCTGAGCTTTCGAAATTTCTGGTACATCTGATTGAAGGCCTTCAACTTCGTTCAAGTTATTGTTGCGGAGCCAAGGTAGCGGCTTGTATTTCCAACTCTATGAGCTGCTATTTTGGCAGTTTGCTCGTTGGCTACAATGAACAGGAAATCTAGCTGACATTAAAGCTATTCTTTTGACATATTACCGGTATTCGAACGCAGGTAGGTGGAAATTGTATCTCGAGAAGGTTGTTCTTCCGCGGTCACCGATGTCTTTGGCCGACGTTTACAGCGCGCAGTGATGTGCTGATCAATACGATCCAGTGCATTAGATGAGCGAAAGACAACTCGGTCAAAATCTTGGGATTGCGGAGGATCACACGCGGGTTAGCTGAGCGAGATCCGTAATTCACAAAACAAGACTACTGTGAACTTGTTGATGGTCTGCTTTGGCACGTGGCGCGTCTCGTTTGACAAGTGCGCTTATTCCCAATTCACGGTGGTGCGGTTGACATAGCAAAGGACATAACAAAATTGAATTCCGATTAACATTGCTATTGTAAAATAACAAGAAATTGATATTTGCGGGTCTTCTCGACCGCACCATAAATCACCTGCCAAGTGATTGATTTTAAAGGCGCCTTTCGAGGCGCCTTTAAAGTTTTCGCACCTTTTCTTGAAAAGACATTACAAAAGACATAACAAAAGACATAACATGTGTCTTTTGGAGTGCTCTTTATGGCGAAAGAAGACCGGTATCTGCAGCTGTTCCGTGGCCGCTGGCGGTTCTATCGCCGGGTGCCGAAAATCCGTTCAGCATCTCGACACACGCGGCGTGGTTCAGGAAGCGCTTGGAACCAGCTCCATCGAGACAGCCCGCATTCGCCGGGACGCGCTGGAAGAAGCCTGCAATCTCTACTGGGCGTCACTCGTCGCCGGCGGCGGCCAGGCCGAAGCGCGCTATGAAGCCGCGAGGGCGCGTGCAAAGGTTCTCGGGCACGCCTACAAGCGGCTGGACGACCTGGTCCAGGACGCACCGCTGGAAGAGATCGTCGAGCGCATCGTTGCCCTGCGCGGCAAGGACGGTCCGCTGATCCTCCCCCTTTGAAGTGGTTCGTCCAAATTTGAGCTCACGCAGTTTCTGGTCCGGGTTTTATGCGACTTTTCGGGCTTCATCCAGTTGGGCTGCAAAGCCGCTCGGCGTCAAGTTTCCGAGCGATGAATGCGGCCGGTTTTCGTTGTAGTCGACCCTCCATTCATTGATGCGGGCTCGTGCATCTACCATGGACAGGAACCAGGAGGCGTTCAAGCATTCTTGCCGCATGAATAGATGGAGTGGTTGCCGCTCTACCCACCCGACGCATTCTATTGGAGGATCGCCGGGTTAGGTCTAATGGGTGGAGAGGAAGGCGAGCATGACAAAAGAGACGATGATCGGGATTGATCTGTCCAAGAAAGTTTTTCAGGTCCACGGAGCTTCCATGGCCGGACAGATCAAGTTCCGGCGGAAGCTGACGCGGCAGCAATTTCGCAGGTTCATGGCTGAACAGCTTCCGGCGACGGTCGTGATGGAGGCCTGCGGCAGTGCTCATTACTGGGCGCGCGAGATGAGCAAGCTAGGTCACGATGTAAGACTGATCGCTCCCCAGTACGTGCGCCCTTTCGTGAAGCGGCAGAAGAACGATGCCGCGGATGCCGAAGCGATAGTCATCGCCGCTCAACGACCTGAGATGCGTTTTATCAGCCCAAAGGCCGAAACTCAGCAAGCACAGGCATTTCTTTTTCGAGCAAGAGAGCGGCTTGTGCGTCAGCGCACAGAGCTGGTGAATGCTTTGCGTTCAGTCCTTTATGAGTTTGGCCATCCAACACCACCGGGTATTGGGCATCTGAAGCGGATCGTGGCGATCATCGAAGCTGAGAACAGCGATTTGCCCGAATTAGTTGGCGACGAGTGTCGCGATATTCTGTTGCAGATCTCAGAGAAAACGCAACGAATTGAGAGCAAGACCAAACAGATCGGTGCTCTGGCAACTCAAACCGATACGGCGCGCCGCTTGCAAACAATGCCAGGCATAGGACCAATGAGTGCGTTGGCCGTTGAGGCTTTTGCACCGCCGATGGAGAGTTTTCGGCGCGGGCGAGATTTCGCGGCATGGTTGGGTCTGGTTCCACGGCAACATTCGTCTGGAGGCAAAGAGCGGCTTGGCCGTATATCGAAGGCGGGGCAGGCCGACATCAGGCGGCTCCTGATAGTGGGCGCGATGTCTCGTCTGAATTGGCTGGGGCGAAAGACGATATCGGAGAAGTCTTGGCTGTCGCGAATGCTGGCCCGGAAGCCGAGAATGCTGGTGGCCATCGCGTTGGCAAACAAGATGGCACGAACGATTTGGGCCATGTTGACGAAAGGACAAGATTATCAGAATCCGGCGAAGGCTGCTGCTGCATGACAGAGGTGCGGCTCGGGGCAGTCTAATGCCGGTGATGGAGGTGTGAGAACGTCGACGATCCATATGGGTAAAATGATCGAACAGATCTGGATCAGGATAACCAGATAGGGGCTTGGAGCAATCAGCTCGCTGAATAGATTTGGATCTGATCCGCTGATCACCATATCGGCCAGCGGCTTCCTAAGTGCCGCAATTGGAAGGCCTGACAGAAGACCGCACTCGATCACACCCAAGGATCAGAAACTTCTTGCATTCAGAGCGGCAACCACAGAAGCCCCTAGATTCTTAGACTGAACTGGTCCCGATTTTCTGGACAAGTTAGCGGCTCATATAAGGTGTATCCGGTGTCGTGAAAAGGCTCGGCAAATTTTGAAAGGAAAGGGCCCGCAAACGAAAAGCGGCCCCGAAGGACCGCCCTATCCTTGTGCTGATCTCGATGATGATTAAGCGGTGGAACGCTTTCTGCGCCAGCCCATCAGACCGAGCACCCCGAGTCCTCCAGCCAGAAGAGAAAGTGCTGCTGGGACGGGGACAAGCGTCACTCTGAGACTATCTGAATAGACTCCGTTAGACCAAGACCACTCATATGTCCCACGAGCCGCCGCCTGCATGTGAGACAGACTATTGTTTGAGAAAACACTCGTGCCCGAGAAAAAGGAGCCTGAAACGTATCCGTCAGGCAGCCATAAATGTGCGGTATTGAGGATCGGAGATATTTGAACAACAAAGTTATCGCCTGTATGTTTTCCACTAAGAGCCCATTTTTTAAAAAGATCAACTTTTGGAGCCACGATAGAACTTACATTGAGGCCGTAGCCATCCAAAAACCCGAACGCATTGTGGGTCGAAATAGCACCAACTCCGTCTCCGAGATCAAGCAATAGTGTACTGTTAATAAATCGCTTGTCAGCTTTTCCAGTCGTTGATCTCAAATCGACGCTGCCTTGATAAGAGACCACAAGATCTGTTCCGACATTTTTGATTTTTACATACACGACGGCGTTCGCTGAGGTAGCCACCAAAGAAAACAAAACAGCAAAAAAGAAGCTGCGCATGAAATTGCCCCCAATTCCAATAAATCACATTGTTACAACTAACAATTAATCAGGAAATTGCAACCGAATTCAGCACAACTTTAACACTGTTCACATCGTGTCTCTAAGGGCACGCCCCTTATGGACAGAGATAAGCAGCTTAGGTTTTGGATGGTCTGGTCTCCGCAGGGAGGTGCGCCGACTTACAAACACCTAACTGGGGCAGAGGCAGACCAAGTAGCTGATCGCCTATCTCAAAATCACGCGGGTCGAACTTTTTATGCTCTCGAAGCGGTCGGTGGCTGCAAGTTCGAAAAGCCGGAAGTTCACAGCTTCAAGATGCGCCCGCGCCCATTTGATGACGGCATGCAATTTTAGTCAGGATCGGCCCCGGTGTTGCCGGCAACACACATGACGTGTTTCAGGTGACACCAGGCCGTCGACTGTGACACCGACTAGATTAGCGCGGCCTGGTCGCCGGCGAACTCGGCCGCGAACACCTTTCCGAGATCCTCGACCAGGGACTGCGGCAACGGGATTTCCCGGAAGACGATCTTGTTTCGCTTTTTCAGCGCGCGGATCGACACCACGCCCGTTTGCACCTGGAAGCTCTGAGCCGTACGCGACAAGGCTTCTGAGAGCCTACAGCCGGAATAGGCGATCACCCGGCAGAGAAACCGTCTCTCCGATAGGCAAAATGCGTCAATCGACTCCCGAAGCGTTGGAACGAATCAAAAAGGCCGCTCGAAAGCGGCCTCTTGAGACATGTCCCAATCAAATGAATGGTGCGGTCGAGAAGACTCGAACTTCCACGGGTTTTACCCCACAGCGACCTCAACGCTGCGCGTCTACCAATTCCGCCACGACCGCATATTCGATTGTTTCCCGAAGCTGTCAGCGTCGAGGCGCCCCGTGTAGCAAAAGGAATTTGGGCGCGCAAGAGCCGATGTCGCAATAATTCACAGGCGCACGAATTTTCTTCACGCCGGGGTTACAGCGGACCGTCGATCCGCATCGGTCTGATTTCCGGCGGACGCATCAAAACCTCGGTGATCGAGATTCCGATCCGCTCGCCAAGCAGCACGACCTGCCCACGCGCCACCAGCGTGTTGTTGGCGTAGATCTTGACGTCGTCGTCCTCCGACACGTCCAGATCGATTACAGCACCACGGCCCATGCGCAGAAGCTGATGAACCGGCATTTCGGATTCGCCAAGCACCACGGAAATGTCGACTTTGATTTCGTCAAAGGTGGTCATAAGACACCAAGATCCTTAAATAGGGCGGAACCCGCCAGCGCCCCACCATATCACGGCCCGGCAAGCCAGCTCAAAAAACAAAGAAGTGTCATCCACATGTCACCAACCGATAGAGACGAGATTTCCCTCAGTTTTCTGCCGAAATCCGGGTCTGACCCGGTTGAGTGGAGAATTTCGGACGAGCTTGTCGACTATGAAACCGCGCTTGCTGAAATGGATGATCGGGTCGAGAGAATCATTTCCGGAAAAGCGCGCGAACAGGTCTGGCTGCTGGAACACCCCCCGCTTTACACCGCCGGAACCAGGGCGGAAGACACTGATCTCGTCGCGCCAGACCGCTTTCCCGTCTACAAGACCAAGCGCGGTGGCCAGCATACCTATCATGGGCCGGGTCAACGTGTAGCCTACCTGATGCTGGACCTGAAACGGCGCAAACAGGACGTCCGGGCCTTTGTTGCCGCCGTAGAGAGCTGGCTCATCAGCTCCCTCTGGCACTATCACATCCGTGGCGAGCGCAGGGAAGACAGGGTCGGTGTCTGGGTGCAGCGTCCCGAAAAGGGTGTAGCAACGGAAGACAAGATCGCGGCAATCGGGATCCGGCTTCGCAGGTGGGTCACCTTTCACGGGATCAGCTTCAATGTCGAACCCGAGCTCGAACATTTCTCCGGCATCGTGCCCTGCGGAGTAACCGATCACGGTGTGACCAGCCTGGTCGATCTCGGCATTCCCGTGAGCATGGCAGAAAACGACATGATCCTGCGCGCCGAGTTCGAAAAGGTTTTTGGGCCGGTCGTTTCCGTTGATACCGACTAGACCTCGGTCCTGCAACAGCAGGCTTCCAGGAACGAACTCAGCCTGGACACACCGCCGGGCTTCCATCCGAGCGCGTGCAGTTTCTCCGTGTCCATGGTTCCCGGCAAGGCCGCAGACTTTGGCGGCAGTTCGCCTCCCCGGCCGCAGGTAGCCCGCAGCATTTTCAGCAGCGCATGTCGATCAAGCACAAGATCGGAAACGTTGAACACTTCAAAGTTTTTTGTCTCCGGGGAACAGGTAGTTGTCAAAGCAACCGCCGAGGCAAGGTCGTCGCCATGGACTTCTGTTCCGCATCTGGGACCGACCGGACTGCCGGACAGAAAGTCATCGAACAGGCCGGACCATTTGTGAGATGATGCGCCGGGAGCAAGCCCATAGATGCCGGTCGCTCGGAGCACGGTTCCGTAAAATCCGTCGTCGCAACAATCTGCCAGCAATTTTTCGCCGGCCAGCTTGACCTTGCCATAGAGCGTGTCCGGCGACGGATCGTCGGTTTCCAGCAACACTTCGCCAGCCCGATGATCCCCGTAGACTGCCCTGCTGGAAAGAAAAACAGCCTTTCGGCAGCCGGCCTCTCTTGCTGCCGAGAAAAGTGCCTTTGTTCCCTCGACATTCAGATGCCGGAACCGTTCCGGATCCTGCCCTTCCCCGCCGCGGAACTTGCCCGGCTCATGCTGTAGGGCACAGTGGACGACCACGTCTGCAGCGGGCAGCACAGGTGCGGGGTCTGAAAGATCATAGGGAGAATAGGCGACCGGCAATTCCTTAATCGGAGCCCGGCCAAGGGCCGTGACACGGTTTCCTTTTCCAAGCATGTGGCTGGCAACAAAACGCCCGACCGTTCCGCTTGCACCGGTGATCAGAACATGCATCTCAGGACGCCTGTTGCTCGGCCCATTCTGCTGGACCGGGCAACCGGGTTGTATCCGCCGGCATGCCGTCTCCCGTCGCAAAAGACTGCCAGAGTTCGATCAGCGGCCGAAGCCGTTCGGCCTTGTCGTGCGCTGCCTGCCACGGCTTTTCATACTGGTAGTGGAGAATATGGATCTCCTTCCAGCTCCAGAGATCGGGCAGATTGAACCAGACATATTGCAGCATGTTGTAGAAAACCGGCAGCCCGTGCCAATCGGGAAAGTGATTTTCCAGAAAAGTCTGGTCGGTCCGCCTCCAGAATGCGTCCGGCCGGTCCAGTGCCGTCAGCATGTTTTCATAAGTTTCCAGGCTTGGCCGCGCGGTGAAAACACCGCTGTTGAGACGGTGAAAATCGGCAAGTCCTTCATAAACATTGGGAGCTGCGCAGAATTCGGGATAGTCGAACAGCCTGTCGCAATTCTGCAGGACCAGCGCGTCGGCATCGACGAAGACCACGCGATCATATTCCGCAAGCTGCCACAGGCGGAGTTTTACGAAGTTGTCGAGCGGCGTATGAAAGACCGGCTTGCCACCTTTCGTGAAAGGCGCAGCCCTGTGCAGGCGGCCTTTCTCATGCCTTTCGTTGAAATCACCGGAGGTCGGCAGCCGATCGCAGCGTCCCAGGCGTGGTTCGAAGGCCTTCAGCACGACAAGATCTTCATCATCTACGCCCGGCGTGTAAAGCACGACCAGGTCGGCTTCGGTATTCGTCCGGCGGAGCGACCTCAAGAGAGCCGTTGCCCCGAGCACGTAGTCCCGATTTGTTACGAGGCTCACATAGGCATTGCGAGCACCGGCCGGGCGATCGAACTGAGGTCCGTTTGCCATCTGCCTGCCTTCAGGAAACTGATTTCAGACGCGGATGCTCCGGATCATGCTCGATTTCGGAGGCGATTTCCCGTGTCCAGGCCGAAACCGCCGGCACCCGGCTGCGATCGACGCGGTAGGCGAAGGCCTTCGCCACGTCGACTACTTCCTCAAGCAGGCCGTCTTCGAGCCGGATCGGATCAAGGCCCAGCTGAAGAAACTGTCCGTTTTTGACCACAAGATCGTTTTCAGCTGCCTCTTTGCGCGGATTGGGCAAGTAAGCGACCTTTGCGTCCGTCAGACGGGAAATCAGCTCCGCGAGATCCCTGACGCGGTGTGTTTCCGTCATCTGGTTGAACACTTTCACACGGTCACCGCGCTGAGGTGAATTCTGCAGCGCAAGTTCGATACAGCGCACTGAATCCTGAATATGAATAAAGGCCCTGGTCTGGCCTCCGGTACCATGTACGGTCAGGGGATAACCGATCGCCGCCTGGATCAGGAACCGGTTGAGCACCGTGCCATAGTCGCCATCATAATCGAACCGGTTGATCAGCTGTTTGTGGCGCCGTGTCTGTTCGGTATGCGTGCCCCAGACGATTCCCTGGTGCAGATCGGTAATCCTGAGACCGTCATTTTTCGCATAGAACTGGAAGAGAAGCTGATCGAGGCACTTGGTCATGTGATAGATCGACCCGGGATTGGCCGGATATAGGATCTCCTGAGCGGCCTTCTCGCCCGAAAGCGTCTCAACTTCCACATCCAGATAACCTTCCGGAATGGCAGCACCGACACTCGAATAGCCGTAAACACCCATGGTTCCGAGGTGAACCAGATGCGCGTCAAGTTCAAGCTCGACCATCGCATTCAGCAGATGATGCGTCGCATTGACGTTGTTGTTGACGGTGTAGTTCTTGTGCTGGTCCGATTTCATCGAATAGGGCGCAGCACGCTGCTCGGCAAAATGAATGATCGCGTCCGGGCGATTGTCGGCCAGCCAGCCCTTGAAGACCTCATAATCTTCCGCAATGTCGATCAGATGGAAATGGATTGTCCTTCCGGTCTCCTGCTTCCAGATGCGCGTGCGCTCCTGGATGGAGTCCATCGGAGTGAGTGACTGTACACCCAGCTCGGCATCGATCCAGCGGCGGCTCAGATTGTCGATGACATGAACTTCGTGGCCCTGGTCGGACAGATGCAGGGATGTAGGCCATCCGACGAAACCGTCCCCACCGAGAATCGCAATCTTCACGAGAAGTCTCCCTAGTTAGGCAGCAAAGAACAAAAGCGCCGTTCTGATTGTTGCACACGAGAAATCAGATCATTGCGATAATTCAATGACAATTCAATGCCAAATCTCCCAATTGATACACAACTTGGTGGAATCACAGACCCTTACGCAGTATCCCTGATCTCGAATGGGCCGTTTGACGGCTCAACAACGTCGAGTTCGTTCACAGTCCTTACCCTGGCAAATCTCGGGCCGTGCCACATGGCATCGAGCATGTCCGAGACTGTCTCCTTGTTACCGGAAAACACCGCCTCCACCGCTCCCGATTTCAAGTTGCGCACCCAGCCGGACAGGTCCCGGGCAATGGCCTCGTCGGCACACCAGGCCCGATATCCGACACCTTGAACCCGGCCTTCGATCAGCACATGAATGGTCAACAAGTCAGACATTGTACCCCCTTTGCCAATGGAAGCGGAGATCTTAAATCAAGCTCGCCTGGGTCGGAAATGCCACTTGTTCAATAGCAGCTGGTCAAGGCTTGCCATGTGCAGCAAACTCGGAGGTCGTTCGCTTTTTTTCGTCCAGCATGACCAGCAGCGACGCGCCGACGATCACAAGCGCTCCCGGCCAAAAGGTACCCGTGGGAGCAAAACCGAACGCAAGGAAACCGACAGCGATATTCAACGGCAACTTCAGATGATCGAAAGGCTGTACAAACGCTGCGTCCGCACTCTGGTAGGCCAGTGTCAAAAGGTAGTTTGCCAGAACCGTCAGGATACCGGCGCCGACCAACAGCCACAGCGCTGCTCCCGGTGGCACAAGGCCCCCTTCGCCCAATGCCAGGAGCGCGTTTACCGGCGTTAGAAGAAGAAGCAGATAGACCGTTATCGAATCCGCATTCTCACTTGCCGTAAGTTTCTTTGTCACGAGAGATGTTCCGGCCCAAAACGCTGCGGCTCCGAGCGGTAGCAACGCGCCCCAGTTGAATGTTTCGGTCCACGGTTCGAGAATTACCATTCCTCCACCGAAGCCGGCGATTGTTGCAAGCCAGCGAACCGGTCCAACGCGCTCTTGAAAGAACAGTTTCGCGCCAATGATGACGAAGAAAGGGGATGTCATGACGAGTGCAATGGCCTGCCAGATCTCAACGCGTGCAAGGCCGGCGACCCACAACTGGATTCCGATCACCGCGAGAAAACCGCGGAACAGATGCCAGCCGATTTGTTGTGTTTTCAAGGCGGAAACACCGCGACGCAAAACCCAGGGCAACGCCACGGCCAGGCCGATTGCATATTGCCAGAAAGCTGCGGAAGTCGATGACACCCCGAGTTGCATCGTCGATGCCTGAAGGGCACCGTTGACAAGTGCGAAGGACGCGCCCGCCCCGACCATTGCCAATGCTGCGAACAGCGGTTTCCTAGAGGAAAAATTGTATTGTGCCGACATTGTCCATCTCGTTCCAGTTGCTCGTCCAGAACAGCCTCAAAAGACACGTGTCAGCGGATCCGAAAGTCGGACCGTAACCAAGTTCTCTATCATCCGGACTATGACCGTCGGCCCCGGCATCTCACCGGATCTGCTGACCCTCGGCATTCACTGACCCTGCCAAGGCGCTCGCGGGCTCCAGGTTTCCCTGATACCGCCGGTGGGGACTTTCACCCCGCCCCGAGAACTGTTCTCTAACGGCTTATCTATCCGGGAAAAGCATGAGTGACAATGCCAGTCGGGCCATTTTTTCAGTATCGCTGAAATATCGGTAGGGTTCTTGGCAATCAGAACCGGATTCTCGGCTTCGAATTCTGTTCGACTTCCATCGCCCGAGAGAATACCGATACCGGCAACACCGTCGCATTTGCGTCGATATGGTCATGTGTCCGATCGCCGATCATCGCCATGTCTGCAGCAGACAACACTTTGCCGCCGGAGTATGAGCCACAGGTTTGCGCGGACAAACCTGTGGCCACTCAACTTCAAGCTCCGGGCTTTCCCGATCTACGACATCATGTCGAAGTGCTCGACATTCCGAATTACCTCATGCGCTTCTGTCTCGCCCGGTGGTTCAAGTTTCTGCACAAGACTGGTCAATGCGGTATCCGGTATGGCCGCAGACCTGTTCCGGTTCTGATCGTAAAGCACGGCCAATGATGGCTCCACGTAGACGATTTCGACGCGAGCGCCGTATTCTCTGAACAAACGGATGGGTTTGCCCCTGAGTTGTTCGGAGATGTTGGTGGCATTCCAGACGAAGTCCTGTCCCTTTCGCAGATAAGAGCGCGCCAGTTCGTAGGCGGCCTGTATCACCCTTCCCTGGTTGCCGGTCGCCCGCCCGCCCATGCTTTCTCGAACCGTATCGAGGCTGACAACAGGCAGGTCAGGTCGATTTGACCGGATCCAGGTGTCTTTCCCCGCACCTGGCAGTCCCGACATGAGGGTGACATTGCATTTGAAGCTTTCGTAGGCTTCGAAAAAGGATCCCGATCCTTTTTTTCAAAAAAAGCAACACGGCTCTCGTCATTGGCGAAGGCAAACGGTTCGCGGAGACTGCCGTTTTCCTCAAACAGCTGTTCGGCCAGGGCAACGTTGTCCAGAATGGACAGCTGATCTTCACAAATGCGACCCATTGCGTCGGCTTCGGCATGAAGACAAACAAGATCAGCCTGGCATTTCCAGGAGGTCTTGATGGCCTGCCTTTGGCAGTCTTCCCGTTCGATAAGCCAGAATGGAATCTGATGGCAGACAATCAATCCGCAAACTTGCTCCCGCCAATCGAACGGGGCTCCGGCTTCCCACAACAGTTGCCTTGCGATTCGCGCGCCGACCCTCGAATGACCCCGCGACGAAATGCGACCATTGTCCTCAAAGCTCGTGGTCGTCGGCTTGCCTATGTCGTGCAGAACCGCAGCCCAGAAAACGCAGGAGCGTTGCCTGGTTGAAAGGTCCCGCCAGCGCTGCAGCGACACCAGGGCCTCCACGACCATACGTGTATGGGTTCCGACATCGCCTTCGCCGTGATAGTGCGGGTCCTGGGGACAACTGTCCAGGGCACCGAGATGTTGCCAGAGCGGCCAAATCCGCCGCCAGTCCACCTTCCATACCGGCGCGGTCGGTACAAGCTCAAGGAGGGTCCCATAGGAGGTCCGAGCTGGCTTACTCGTGCTCATCATACGCTCCTTTCACGCCCAGTACCGCCGCAAAGATATCAATGCCGTCGGCAAGCTGATTGGGCAGGATCGGTCGTGACTGCCAGTGACTGTCGGAATCCGAGAGAGTTTGGATGAACCCTCCCCTGACAAATTTGAACCTGTCCAGAACAAATCTCTCATCTTCCGTCTTGATGTAGAGACCTTCCGCGAGATCGCTGTCTTCCGTTTGCTGGTCGACCATATCAAGCCGGTTTTTCGAGGCTTCCGCCGCCCGCTTCAAGGCGTCCTGCCATTCCGCCGACTTGTAGAGAGATGGCTTCACCAGTTCCTCCACTTGCGCGGCAGAGGTCAGTTGTCCGTCATGAACAACTGGCACCGGCATAACGGGAAGCCCTCCGAGCAGGTTTCTTCGACCAGTGGTACTGAGAAAACGGGCTTCTTCCCGGTCGTAGACATCAAACTCGAGAAAGTAGTGCGGCAGCCGATCGTAGAAGCTCGTATGTTTGGCATAGAGCCACTCACCAAACATGATGAACCGGGTTCCAAGCACTTCACACAATGCCGGCGCGTGAATGGATGCCCATGTTTTGAGGAGATTGAAATGGCGTTCGCGATGGCCGCCGGTCAGGTAGTGGCCGCGGCTTTGAAGGCGCAGTTCTCCATTTGCACTGAAGGAAACAGCACAGTTGGCGCCGTCGACCTTTTCTTCGACAACAACGGGTATGCCCGCCAGTTCTGTGACAGGCTTGTCTTCTCCAATGTCACCCTGCTGAAGACGCGACCCCTCCAGGTGTCGCGTGCGCGGGTATTTCACAAGTTCCATGATATCGCTCGATCTTGTCCGGACGAAATCAACCCAATAGGTCAAGCACCATCAATCGCCGTATTAACAGGCGTTGAACAACTTGTCTGGTCTGACGTCCGGTATTGCAAAATCGTCAATCCCTATTTTTCGGATCGACTTGTTTTCGGCAAAGTGCGCGAGCGGATTACATCTTGAATGCTCAAAAATTCGAGTTGTTTGTCCCTGCTCTTCTACAATGATCAGAGTGTTGCGAAAAGCCGGACATGGTCTGCAATGTCCAATTGCCTGCAACATGAGGAGAATTGGCAACAGACAAAATCTTGCACTTTCCGGATGGAACGTCTGGAATCAAGCCGCTTTCTGCACGTGTTGCAGGATTTCGGAGGGCTTTGCCGCGACCAGAACCGGCCCTTCCCCTTCCAGTTCCTCACGACTTCCATAGCCCCAGAGAACACCGATCCCGGCAACGCCGTTCGCATTTGCCCCGATAAGGTCATGCTTTCGATCACCGATCATCAACGTTTGCGCGGCAGATAGTCCCTCTTCTTCCAGAATATGGGCGATAAGGTCTGCCTTGGCGGACCGGTGTCCGCTCAATTCGGAACCGTAGACCTTGCCGAAATGCGGCATCATGTCGAAATGTTCGACAATTTTTCCCGCATAGGCATGCGGCTTCGAGGTACACACGTGGAGATCAAGACCGGCCTTTCGCAACGCCTCGAGCAGGTTGGTAATCCCGTCGATAAGCGTGTTTTCGTAAAGCCCCGAAACCGTATACCGCTCCCGGTAGTAAGCAACCGCTCTATCCTGCACCGAGCGATCACCCGTGTTCAGCAAAACCTCGAAACTCTCCCAGAGCGGAGGGCCAATACACCAGTGAAGATCCTTTGCCTCGGGCACAGGCGCGTCCATTTTTTCCAGTGCGTACTGGATGGACCGTGTAATGCCGTCAAATGGGTCTGTGAGTGTACCATCAAGATCGAACAACAGGGTCTTGTAAGGCATGGATCCTCGATGACTACCGATGGAATCGGCCCGGACGGAAGTGTCGCGGGCCGCTGCATTAGAACCGGAAAGAAGACCCTGTCAATCTTTCGCGTCAGGAAAATTCCATGATGACGGCGTCAACGGCGAGACTGTCTCCCGGCGTCGCCTTGATGGCAGAAATCACGCAGTCGCGCTCAGCACGGAGCACGTTTTCCATCTTCATTGCCTCGACGACCGCCAGCTGTTCGCCCGCCTTGACTTCCTGGCCTTCTTCCACCGCGATAGATACAACGAGCCCTGGCATCGGACAGAGCAGCATTCTGGATGTGTCCGGTGGCAATTTCTCCGGCATCAACCCGTCAAGCTCTGCAACACGCGGCGTCATCACACTCGCGACAACGGAATAACCCTGCCAATCGAGGCGGTATCCGCCGGTGACCGGCCGCACCTGCACTGTCACATCCCTGGAGCCGACTTTCCCGGACCAGAGAACATCACCGGGACACCAGTCAGATTCGACATTCATGATCGGACCGTCACCGATGGCAACATCCAGTTCGACCGGTGTGCCCGGGAACCCGGCGGCGAGCCGGATGGGCACGTAGGTCTTGTCCAGTTTGACGACCCAATCCTCTCGAACATCCCCTGAATGCGGCCGGAGCCGTCCGGGAAGATGGTCGAGTCGTTCTCGTTCCAGAGCACCCATAGACAAGGCGACCGCGGCAAGCACCGAATACGCGGGATCGTCCGGAACTGCCGGCAAGAACCCGTCCGGATATTCATCGGCGATGAAACTCGTTGCAAGGTCGCCCGAGCGCCAGCGTGGATGGTTCATCAAGGCGGTCAGGAACGGGACATTGTGCTGGATGCCATCGACATAGAAAGCATCAAGCGCGGAACTCATCGCATCGATCGCTTCATCCCGGGTCGGAGCATGCGTGATCAGCTTGGCGATCATCGGATCGTAGAACATGGAAATTTCCGACCCCTCGACGACACCCGTATCGTTGCGGATCGTCACATCCTCGCCGGCGACTTCTTCTGGCGGCTGGTACCGGACAAGACGCCCTATGGAGGGAAGGAAATTGCGGTAAGGGTCTTCCGCATAGATGCGGCTTTCAACCGACCAGCCGTTCAATTGCACCTCATCCTGGGTCAGGGCGAGTTTTTCACCGGCCGCGACACGGATCATCTGCTCCACGAGATCGACACCGGTAATCAGTTCGGTAACCGGATGCTCTACCTGCAGGCGCGTGTTCATTTCCAGGAAGAAAAAGCTTTTGTCCTGTCCTGCAACAAATTCGACAGTTCCGGCACTGTCATAGTCGACGGCCTTGGCAAGAGCCACGGCCTGCTCGCCCATCTTTCGGCGGGTTTCCTCGTCCAGAAGCGGTGATGGAGCTTCCTCTATCACTTTCTGGTTCCGTCGCTGAATGGAACACTCACGTTCACCAAGG